GTATCATATATATTCAATGGCGTAACTCACTGGGAGGAGGGAATAACAAACGGTGCACATATTAACGAGTGTATTGTGTGGCAGAAGGAAGATACACACACATTTATGCTGCTGACAATGAAGAGCACGCTTGTGGTAGTTGATGCGATGCCCTACCCACCCTTGGGCAGTACATTGCAAATCTGTAATTGTAACAGGAAGGGAACTTGTACCAACGAAGGAAGCAATAGCAGCCAGAGAGTGCCATGTAAAATGGATGAATAGCTCGCACAACCTCCCTTGTTACACACGGGTGAGGTTGGGGGAAGGGGGGAAAGAGGAGGGAACTGGAGGAGAAGGAGAGGAGGGAAGAGACGCTATCATTGAATCAATGGCCCACTCCAGCCCTCCCTTTATCGGAGCTGTGGATGTGCTAAAAGAAAAGCTAATCACTTTTGGCCCTGATCCCGTTGTCTATAAGTGTCTCTGCGGGTCTCCTCCGAGTGTCTCAAAGTGTCTCTCTACTTGTATATGGTGTGCGCTCTCTAATTGGTGTGACCGCTGGCTGCCCTTCGCCTGGGACCAACCTCGCCTTCACCTGACTTCATAGAAACTCTCTGATTTTTTTGTTTTTGTTTTCTCCAACTGACTACCTGCGTGACGTGCAAGCCTGCTATCCTCACCGGTGCACTTCAGTTTTCAGAAGTTGGCCAGTCTGAACTGCCTCTTGGCACTCCCACCCATCAACCTCTTCCAGCAGCAGGCTACGACACCCGTTTCCTTTAGGCTGAACTCTGTCTCCTGACCATTGCCCTCTGTGATCGTTTCTCATCGCATCCGAGTCTAGCATGCAACCTTGGTTTCCAAGAAAGACCCGGACAACTTAGCTCTACTGCTTGCCCTCAATGTCGAAGATGATGGAAGAGGGCTGTTACTATGTGGGCCAATAGGGTACTGTGGTGGAGATGATCCTCAGCTATGGTTAATGATATTTGGTGCAGTCGTTTCAGTGCTTGATCTGTGAGTGCAACTCTTTCGAACAACCTGCCACTTCACACGGGAGGGGTTCACTTTCATGCGATCTTTGCGAAATTGTAGTGCTTGCCCAAGTTATCGGGCTGGATGCCTGGCAGGCCCTGAACTGTCTAAATCCTTTTCTGGATGTCTGGACCTGGGAAACCACATGAATGTCTGTTGGACGCTCCCCCC